GATGCCTTCAGTCCGGTTCCACCGCATCCTTCTTCGCTGTAATCATTGATTATTATATTATTTAATAATATATTTAATATAATTTATATGATTTATATTTGTCATGATTTCGTTTCTCTTGTTTTTTCTCTGTTTAATCTATTTGTAATCTGTTTGGAGAATTGGTTATCATTTGTTTTGTGATTTATTAATAGGAATCAAACATAACGACATACAAACGGATGTGGAAATTCATGTCCAGTCATGACGGAGTGCTCCAGAGGTCTAACGACATGGGAAAGAAGGCGGTGGAGAACGGCGAAGGAAAATATGCCTTTCTTATGTACGGACACACCATTGAGACACACAATCCCACGACACCATTATTTATTAAATACATTTCTTATTAAACTATTTGATTAATTGCAGGGAAAGCGCTTCCATTGAGTATACAGTAGAAAGATTTTGCAATTTAACACAAATCGGAGGTCTTCTCGACAGCAAAGGCTACGGAATCGCTGCCAGAAAAGGTATCAAACGATTTATATCGTGCGCTAATCTAATTACCCGTTTAATCGATTGACTCTATGACCAGACTCTCCATTCCGGATGCCTTTATCCCAAGCGATCCTTCAGTTACAAGAGAGTGGGGTTTTGTTGATACTGAAGGAGCGCTGGTGGAAGCAGAAGAAGGGCGGCGGACAGTGTATGGAAGACCATAAGAAGGGCTCCGGATCTGTCACACCTCTCAAGATCGACAACGTCGGCGGTGTGTTTGTCGTACTGCTCGGTGGCCTCTCTTTCTCCCTATTTGTAGCCATAATGGAGTTCATGTGGAAAGCGAGGAATTTCACGATAGACCAGGTCTTGTCTTGTCATCGCTTTTGTCCCACAATTGTCCACTAATTTTGTTGTCGTTTTTATTTTGTTACAAAATTCAGGACACGATATGTGAGGAAATGTTAAGTGATCTTAAATTCGCGTTTTCCTGTCAAAGCTCCTCGAAGTCCGCGAAACCGAGACTTGAGTACAAATACGACGAAAAGAGTGGTCTTCCGCCACAATTAGGGCCACATTTTTCTACTATCTATTGATTTACACAATCATTATTTAAAGGCAGCAATA